AAAAGACATGTTTTTCTCAATTAATTCTATTTTATTTCAAGTATGATATAGACACAATATGTATACCTATAAGGAAAGAATAAACAGGTATAATCATTTTCTTCCCGAATAAGAAGATGAATAAAACGAATGAAGATTTCGCGTAAGCAAAAACACTCCTATATCGATCCATAATTTATGTTCGAAACAAGAAAAGAAGGAAAGAGGTTCGACATACTTCTGCTGGAATCCCTACTTTCAGGGATTTCAACGCGTCAGAATTTCTAAGGGCCGCTCACCTCCTCTGTCTGCTGTTATGTGTGCATTTATGTGTGTATATATATCAATATTAAAAATAAGCAACGGTATAGTATGCGATACGAAAGGGATGCTGTGGTACATACATAACCTACGACGTAAGTCTCGCGCGGGTCGAGGGCCGTTCTCAGTAACATATATATATACACGTTCTGAGAGAAAGAGAGAGAGAGAGAAATTCGCATTACTATATATACAAGTATGTATATATAGATGCATGTATGTATATGCGCATGTGTATAGAGATATGTATATATGTATGCGACGTGTAATACCCAAGCGAACCTATACACACGTAAACAAAGTAGTGCATCGAAAGGCAGTATATGCATGTGAGAGTGAGAGAGAGAGAGGGGTAATTACACGATATTGTCGCGTGGCACATATATCGACTATGTAGCCGCATCCGCGCGTCATACGTACAACCACAGACATACCCCTGTCTATATATAAACACACACACGTGTTCGCATGCCTATTCACGAGCATGCATCGGGTGCATTGGGTGCATCGGGAAGCACAAAGCGAGTAACGTAGTTGACGGTCTCTCCTCTACGAGTGGCGGCGTTACGATTCACCTTGTGGGTATACCGTTTTCGTCTGGTCTACATAATGTGTATATACTATAGTTATATACTATCGTTGTATTAAAGTATACATCAAAATCAACGAAAAGTAATACGATGACATGAGCTGAAATGTCTATTTTACACAAACAATTACAAGTTTCAAGTGTCCTACAGATTTGAGATTAATATTATCGCTAGAATTATCATCGCTAGATTTGTTATATTGGATTACTCAAAAAGTTCCTACGGATTTTCATTGAAAAATTGACAAGAACTATATCTCCACTTAATATCATATATTTCATTTGAAAACTTATTAATCATTTCATATTCTTCATTGCTCCTCTAACGAAGATCCTTATGTTAATCCGTATTTATTCAACAGCATAGAATACCTATGTCTTATCATAAGTCTAAATAAGCGGTCGCATAATGTATCGTATATGCGATAAGACTCACGTTAACGCGAATATGGACACATCTGTGCGTTCAAGGGAAGAGGATGGAACGCAGGGCGGAGAAGGATTCGCACGCACGCACACCTATTACTACCAGATGCTAGTATATGTACATAACTGTTACGATTCTCTCTCTACATATATATATATGTATTATGTATATATACATAATATGTATATATATAATATGTATATATATAATATGTATATATACATTATATATCTCCGGAAGTGGTGCAGGACTCGGTGGTGCACCGCGTAGCAAACCAACCATTTCCCTTCTCCCCTAACACCCCCGACTATACGCTATATATATATATATATATATATATATATATATATATATATATCTTACTGCATCTCTATTCTCTCTATCTCTGTCTCTATCTGTATTCTCGCAACTGGATTTCTCACTTCTATACTATATAGCACCGATCTCCTGTAAAGCTAGTTAAACGGGGCCGGAAATTAATAAAGGTACAATTAATAAAAATTACACATTTTTCATCCATCGAAGAAGGAGTGGTGGTGGGGTTAGTGGTACTGTTCGGTCTGCAATTCACCTATCCGAGCAACGACCGCATGGTGGCTGCTGCGGAATCTACCACATGTGCCTTTTCTTTTTTACTTTCCATTTTTTCCTATAGCTTTTTTCTCTCCTATCCTTTTTTAGTCTTCATTTCTCTCTCTCTCTCTCTCTCTCTCTCTCTCTCTCTCTTTCTCTCACTTCAAATTCCTTTCCATTTACGACTAGACGGCTGCACGGAATATTGTAATTAAATCTCTTATCGCGAATACGACAGTGAACATGATTTTTTTCTATGATATTATAAAGACGCGATTTGATTTTACCAAAATTTCTGATTTCATTTTATTCTTATACTTTAGATTTTTTAGCCAGTTTATAAACTTAATCATTTATATATTCAATATATTTTGAACGTATATACTATATTGAAACATTTATACACACTTAACGCGATAACATATTAAATGCATTCATTATTTTATTATTTAATATATTACATTACTAAACGTATTACTTAATGCATTTTATTATAAAAAGAAATAAAGAAAAGAATGTGGTAGCTAATATTAAGAAAATTCGTACGTTTACGGGCGCGTAATGAAAACCGTACTAGGAAAATTCTAATTACCTCGTAAGATAATTTATTCTTTTCCACGAAAAGTACTTTACTTCGTTCCTATGCAAATTTCTGGCGAATTTGGTGCAAGTCTCCGCATATTATGTAGCATATGTTTTTTTATTTCCTTTCCGCATATTATTTCTGGATTACAAATTCTTTGTTTTATTTTTATTTCTCGTTGATGTCTCTTTTTCTCTCGTTATTTCAAACGAGTCAAGTTTCTAGCGTCTAATTGTTTGTAAAAAAAAAAAAAACACGCAAGAATAATTGAATATTTGTTTATTTTGAAAAGTTGATGAAAAATTCATCGAAATTTTCTATCCTTTATTATCGTTCTCTCTTCCTCTTAATTTTACAGTAAAGCATATCACGTAGAGGTAATTATTATAATGAACATATTAACGAAGAGAAACACGAGTATATTTATCTTCATAATTTAATGACGTTTATAATATAAAATTATTCATTTGCTCATTTCATTTACTTCAATTATTAATCTTAAGATTTTGACTTTTAATTTTATATAAATATATGAAAGTTTTATCAAGTAGCACATTAAAAAAATGTTCCATTTAAACATATCATTACTAAAGAATATTTCTAATAGATATTAATAAACATAATAAATTTCAAAAAACACATACCTTCCACATTTTCCAAATAAGACAACAACAAAAAATGATATAAATTGAAAGAAAAATAAATCAAATATCCAAGTATATACTAAGATATCACGATCTTCAACGAGATACACCACATACATATAATACATATATATTTACATACATATATACGTAGATCTTTTTACACAGAAGATCGGTGAATGAAAATAAGAGAAAAAAGAAAAAGAGAAGAGGTAGGCGAGAAAAAATCGATGACTATACCAACAGAAGCCACGACGATAGGAAAGTATGAGGAAGGTAGAACGATATAAGCGAGTAGTTTTCTCTCTCTCTCTCTCTCTCTTTTTTTCTTTACCATACTCTCCCCAACCCCCTTTAGCCCTTTTCCTCATCCTGTTGCCGCTCTCGTCGCGCATCACCGACGTGCTAAAAAATTTCATTACGGAAAAGTTTCAGCGTTCCATTGGCTTAGCTTCGCGAAAAGGCGATATTTCGTGTGGACTTTGCAAATGTATGCTACACACATATATATACCTATACCTATAACAATAATATATAATAATTAATATTATTATAAAAATATTAAACATATATATATGCACGAACTTTATTTTTTGTTTTGATGTGTTGAAACCACCCCTACATTATTACCTACTTATCCTGTTACACCCTGTATAATATATATATATGTCTATTTATTATATTCGCAAAATATTAATAATTTTTCTATTAATCCAGGAGAAAAACTAAATTTAACTCTTATACGCGTAACGATTAAGATTCCATTAATTTCATACAAATTGGAGTAGGTACGTTAAAATGACGAGACGCGCGACTTTATCCTGAAGGATAAGTGAATTACAAAGATTATTGGACGTGGAAATCGCTCACTCTCTTTCTTTTTAACTCTTTTTCCCGAATCCTTGAAAACGCAGTGACAAAGTGAATCCCTTCGGAGCTGATACGCGACTACACGCTAGTAATCAGAACGTCTGACAGAATTTAATATCGAAACGATAAGAGAGGGAGAGAGAAAAAGGAAGTGTTCTATCGTCAATACCATACTCAACCCTTTTAATCGCAACTAATCGTGCTCGCTTCATTACAAAGGGTCATCGTATAAAGAAAGAAGAGAAAAAGAAAGAGAAAGAGAAAGAGAAAGGAGGAAGAAGGAGGATAGAAGGTGGAAGAGCAAGAGGAGGGTGCAGGAGGGTGCAGAAGGGTGCAGAAGGGTGCAGGAGGGCGTAGGTAAAAAGTGGAAAGAGAGGATACGGGTAGTGACGTCATATTAACAGATATCGTCGATGTCGAGAAGAGAGTCGTTCTCGAACGACCATCAGCCACCACTAACCATCCTCGCCCATTTCCACCACCCTAGTTATATACTCTCTCTCTATCTACGGTCCCCCTTCCCTTTTCGATATTTCTCTCTCTCTCTCTCTCTCTCTCTCTCTCTCTCATGCTCGTTCTGGCGTAACGGTGAAAAATTTAATTACAAAAAAGTTTTGGCATTCCGTCAGTTTGGTTTAGTCGCAATATATCGTACAGAGAAGCCGTAATTCTGTCTCCCTCTTTTCTCTATTCTCTGTCTATCTCTCTCTTCCGCTATGGTCGCGTATCTGTGGTTTATTCGAGCCTGTCTCGAACCAAGCTATCCTCGAAACCCAGCCTCCCATCCCTCCTCCTTCGTTTGAAACCCCTTTCCGAGTTCCCTTCGCCGCTTTTCACCACTACCACTAACGAGTGCCGGCACACACCGTCGGTAGCACTGCTCCAATCCACCCCACGTTCGACCATCTCCTTTCATCCGGCTCGACGAACGCCGCTGCTTCGTGCCCCGATCGCCCAGCCCACGCTTCGACTAGCCCGCACTTTTTTCTCTCTCTCTCTCTTTCTCTTTCTCTCTCTCTCTCTCCTTCTCCTTTTTCCTTTTCTCTTTTTTTTATATAAAGCGTTATATAATATTTTATTAATAATACGATAGCCCGCGAGAGAGAGAATGCTGTTGCTGCTACTGCCAATGGCGATGGCGATGCTGGAGTTAGAATATGGCGGACGAGATCCACCTACCACCCACTCCCTTCTATCTCTTTTTCTATCTTTTTCATCGTCCTTTTTTCTCTTAACTCTCCCCCTAGCCCACCGCCTTCATCTCCTCCTCCTCCTCTTCCTCCATTTCTCTCGATATTCACGACTAAAACGCGAGCATCGCTCGCGCTGATGGTAGCCGATGGCCCGGCCGATTTAATTTTAATTACATCCTAATTAGCCATCTTCCTTCGACGAAGCTAGCCAATCGATTCGTTCCGTTCCTTCTTTCTTTTACCTTCCTCTATCCCCACCATCACATTCATTATCTATTATCTGATCGAAGTGTATTTTTAATAACTATCGTATCAGCAAAATCATCGTCTATTTATTTTCGATTGGAAACGCATTTCCTTTTTTGATGACAGGGATGTTTTTTCATAAATACGTGCCAACACTTCAGGGGGTAAGTTTACGCATTAAAATAGGTAAAAATTGTCGCATGGCAAATAATCATATGACATTTTCGATCCGTTCGAATGTGCAAATATACTCCTGAAGTATTGACATGCGTTTTTGAAACAACCTATACGTATATATACGTCTGTTACTTACGTTTCGTTCGTTTATAGGTACCATAGCCGTTGTTGATCGATGCGACAACGCGGTTTTGTTGCACGCTCGAACTGTGTGTGCCTATATAGTAGTATCATCTCGGTTGGTGTAAATAACGAGAGTGGTTTTCGTGGCTCGCGAGTGTGCGGTTTACGGACGAGTTGAGAAGAACCCCGTGGACCGCCGACGATTTCCAGCTAGCTGTTTTCGAGAAACCATTCGAAAGAAGAAATGATATATATACACGCGCACATATATATATATATATACGTACACTCGAATCCTGAAATTCGACTAGCGACTAAAACGGTTGAATAATTTTATTTTCAATCGTAACGTTTCGTCGATGAGATTCGAGATCGTGAGAGAAGAGACCTTCTCATTCCGCGGTACTAGGCAACGGGGTGGAAGAGGAGAACGGGGCCGGTTGGATCTATCGAATGCTAGTGCACTTCCGAAAGTGCTTAGAAGAGATGGATGCACGGTGTTGGATCGGTACGACCTAGTTACCAAGAAGAACCAACTGAAAATTCTGGGGTCCGAATCGTGAATGATCCAAATTTGACTATGTTTCTCGATTACTACGAAAGTTTTGACTTTTCCTTCGACACCTTTCGCTTCAAATAGATATACACGAAACTATGATGAAAGAGTAGAAAATAAGTAAAAAATTGCAAATAGCTAGGACGAAGAAATGATGGTAGTTATATATTTGAGTCGAAGATTTTTCGATTGGTTCGTCGTCGTGGCCGAAGTTATAGTGAAAAATTATTTCTATCGTAGCGTGCTTCGATAGCCCTCGAAGAAGAGCTAACGAACGAACGAACGAACGAACGAACGAACGAACGAGCGCAGCCGAAAAGTCAAATAAGCAAAAATGAAAGCCTGCGAGGATCGATACTACGTTCTATACATTGATAGCCGCTGGATACGAACCGGATGGCGAGCGACCCACCAAAAGAGGAGAAGCAGGAGAAGGAAGGAAGAGGAGGATGAAGAGTATGAGCTGAAGGAGGAGGAGAGAGGTACGAGTTCTGGAACGAACGAACGAACGAACCAACGAACGAACCAACGAACGAACCAACGAACGAACGAACCAACGAACGTCCTCCTCGTCTCTGAGTTGGTGGTGATGATGAAGCTTGGACCCAACTAAGCTATCGGTGAATTCTTTCTCTCTGGATAAAATAACCGGCCAATTAGCGATGTTATTGAAAATTTGTCAAGTTCCGGGCAGAAAGACGAGCCAGCACTGAGGCCACCATTTCTACCTTCGAGCTATACCGAACTTCGAAGCTTCAACGAAGAAATGATTATTTCTCGGTGGACCCCGACCATCTCTACCTTCTAACTATCCCTTCCTTGTCATCTATCTTTCTTTCCCTAGGTACGGTAGCTCTCTCCCAACACGCTCGACTTCTTCTCGGACCTCCAAAGGGATGATTATATTCGTCGTTCGAAGCGTACCCTCGAGATCGTTCGCGCGGACGAATAATTTCCTCTATTTCTTTTATTTCTTTTCCTTGACTTTGTTACGTTCCACTTCGCGTCAGCCCACCTTTTAATACTATTGTCGTTATTCGGATCGCTATTATATTTGCTATTGTAACGAAAAGAATTTCTAAAAAGGCTAACCAACTAAACTAATATATCTCATTTTGATCAAATACTTTTTAACTAAATATTCAAACAGAAGTAAAGAGAAAAAAGCAAGAGTTATCGTTATTTTAGGTAGAAAGGAGTTAATCGAATCGGCAGGAAAGACAATGCCGATTTCGGTTTGGAACGATAAATGCAACGTGCGTGACGGTGTTTCTCTGTATCCGTGTGCGGTTCTACCGCGATAACGCGATTCCAGTTTCCCGTCGAGCGTAGTTTCCGCGTCGCGATTCGGCCGCGCGCCGCACGCCGCTATTTGTGTTAACTATAATTGTGTTACTTCGCTGGAACGAGAGAAGTTAGAATTTAAACCGCGAAGTCGATCGAAATAACGTTCGTTTCCAAGAGTTGCCCATGGAATGACCCTCTGGGGGAAAAGGGCTCTATTACGAGCAAGTTAAACGTATTTCCAAATGCGTTATAATAACGTTTCCAAAATCTATCCAAATTTACAACAAAACAAATTACAAGGATTACCCTCACTTTTACTCACACTTAATAATACTACCCCAAAAGGTTGCGCGCCTTTTTATCGGCTCCCCGAAGTCAACAGCGTACAGTTAATGTTTTTTCATCCATCCATTTTACACGAAAAAAAAACAAAAGGAAAGAGTTATAGGGGATTAAAATGAATATTTTTTTTGCGATAGTGTTCTCGTTAACGAATATTCAAATTTCCAAAGATATTAAAAAGTAGATGCATAAAAATTGCTCTCGCGTACTCATCTTTTTATACTATAATTAATATGCAAAAAAAAGAATAGGGAAGAAAAGAGATACATACGTACGTGCATGCAAAATAGAAAAGAACGCTATAAGTAATAATCTTTGACGACCTATAGAAAAAGTATACGCATACATTTATTAACAAATAATGATATAAATGCGTTAACTGCGATATATTAAATAGAATAATAATATTGTCTATGGGGCGTCCATCTTTCTCTGAATCTTTATATCTTCAGCGATCAGTTCTTACATGAAGCGCCGACATCGTTCGCGATCGACGGACGTATATTTTTTTGACGAGTTTTCACCTCCGGGATAGCCCGGCCGGCACGGAGAGGCACGGACGGACGGCCGGGCTGAAAGCCTCCGGGAGTAACGAGGACAAGGATAGAGTTCGAACTGAATGCGGCGGGAAAGAAAAAGAGGGTTTCGAATAGCGGCGGAGGGGTGAGATAGAACAGGAGGAGGAACACCAGGAGGAGGAACACCAGGAGGAAGAGGCGGTGGACGAGGAACTAGGTATAGGGAAAGAGAAAAAGAGTGATAGATAGACAGAGAGAAAAGGAAAAGAGAGACAGAGAGTAAAAGAAAGAAAGAAAGAGAGAGGGAGAGAGATAGATAGATAGAGAGAGAGAGAGAAAGAGAGGGTGAAAAGTGGTAGAACCAGGAAAGAGTGAGAGTGAGGGAGAGAGAGAGAGAGAGTGGTAGGTAGGTGGAAGGTAGAGAGAGACAGAAAGGGAGATGTAAAGATTGGTGGTCTCCCTCTCGACTGCCACCCTCCACATCCACCAGCGAACTGAGGACAAAAATCAATATGAACGTGTAGCCATTTCTCTTTAATCTGCCGCTTACTGGCTAGAAACCGAACCGAACTGCGTCGAACGGAGAGAACCGGACTGCTTGCTCATCCGTGCAAGAGAACTTCTCTCTCTCTCTCTCTCTCTTTCTCTTTCTCTTTTTCTTTTTCTTGTATTCGCTAGCTCGCTCGTTCGCGCGAATTCGCTCGCGTTCTCCTATCGTGTACCGTTCCTACCGAACGTACCGTTTTCGACAAAAATCGAAATTAGTACTCGCTCGCTAGCAAATTTCTATACGTATCCCTTCCTTTTCCCTATTACTTCTCTCCTCTATAATCATCCCTCAATACATATATATCTATGTATTTTCTTTTTTATTACATATATGGATTTTCATTTTGGGCTCTATATCTTGTAACTTTTCATTACATTTCATAAACGAATTGATCATATTTAATTTTTCCAACGTGATTAGACGCGGATTTTGATTACCTTTAAAATGATATATCACAAGGATGGGAGTTGTATTTAAAATTTCAAAGTAGGGGTTTCGCCGAGGTTCTAAGAGTGGTACTTCAAATTTTATCAATATTGATTTAAAATTTTCCTCCTCGATATTTAAATCAACGTGTTTTCTTTTTCTAAAAATCGAAATTACTTCGAATCAAGAGTTATTCAAAATGGCAATTTCTAAAATGAAGAAGCAACTCTCTCTCTCTCTCTCTCTCTCTCTCTCTCTCTCTCTATGCCTTAAGAAGCAATAAATTGTGTGTAAAAGAAAAAAGATATTTTACTTTGCGAAAAGTGTTTACATTTGCCCTTAATCATGAAATAAATTTGTATCTCCGTTTCTTTTTCTTTTGTTTCATCTTTGTTTCTCTCTTTTCCTCATTAATATAGACGACGAACGTATGAGAAAAATTTACCGAACGATGAACTACTACTATTACTGCCCATACAAGCTAGATCAACTTTCCTTGAAACAAACTACGCGAATAAATTTTCTCCATGGGTACATCCAACTAACTATACCTACACCTCTTTATTACATAAGTCTTGTATGTGCTCGTAAAATGTTTTATTTGCGAGAGATACCCAAGTACTTCTTAAGTGCCGACGTTTAAATTAATCTCTTTAATACGAACAACAAATTTATTTGATAGACAATAATTATTTCGTTTTAATATGTCGGATAAATCAATCATTTGACTGGAATGATCAATCGTTATATTGAAAAAAAAAAACAAATGGGTAGATCTAAAAAAGAAATTAAGTAAAAAATCTTATACCAAAAAAGCAACGCTAGATAAACAAGCTCTAGTAATAAGAATCTTCAATTAGATTAATTATCCAAAGTTTTTAAATCAGTCGAGTTTAATGACATTCCTGTAAGAGTTATTAAAAAGTTAATGAAGAAATGAAGATTACATTAAACGCGTAAAATGAAAACAAATGCTGACGAAGAAATAGGAAAGAAAGTGACATAATCAAGATTCGTGTTAATCTGTTAATTAGCATGTCGAATAAAACCGATTGAGGGAGTTTAACGCGGGAAAGTAACCAAACGTTTTCCCAAATTCCAAGTTCATTGAGAGGACAACATTTGCAGGGTAATTCCTGCTTGAATTCGAAATCTTACTAATTGTTAGTCAATGCCTACCGCAGCAGTTAGTATACGTTGTAGATGGAATCAATGCTAATACGACGATATCCTGGCACACCTGATCTAATTACGAAGACGCGTAGCATACCACCTATTGGAAGGAGACATCGATAACGATTAAACTTAAGAATTTTTAATATCGATAGTAGCATCGATTCAAATCCAATCATATTTATCCCTCCAGGTCTCTGCTCCTCCCTTTCAGCCCCCGTTAATTCGATCTACCATTTTTTTCATTAATTTCTACATCCACGATAAACGATATTTCCTTCGCGAAGTAATCAATATGCATTTAGATTTGCATAACAATATTAACGCTTACTATTGTCGCTTACTATTGTCGCTTCTCTAATTGGCCGATTCAATGCTACTCGATATATAGGGTGTATCAAAAATGAACAGGGTCTCCGAGATATGAATTTCTAAAAAATTATTCAACGTTACACGACTGTATACAGGGTTAATCCTTTTGGCATAACGAACAGCATTTATTTTATTTTTAATACAATATAATATTATTATACTGCATCAACTATAACTTATTTTACGGAATAACAAATATTTTCGATTTCAAATTTTGTGGAATGACAAAATAAATGTTTTCCTCGTACTTCGATTTGACTAAAAACCCCATGATAATTTTCCTATTAAATTTTAATACAATATCGAATATTATTTCTCTAACAATGTAACCTAAATTTCAAGGTAAATTTTATTACTTTTTAAAAAGTACTTAATACATTAATAAATTTAATGACACCATTTTAGACGCGCATTTTGCGTAATTAAAATCTCGA